TATAAATTTACAGGTGATCATGTATTGTATTACATTATATTTCTGAAAAATTTAAGAGGTAGTTATATAATAATTTTAGATGATCTCAGGCAGTCGGATACTTATGACCGCTACTGTAATTCAGTTGAATTATTAGAAAGTATTTTTATTTTTAGACAAAACCAAGAATCAAGTAAAATAGTATAAGATCTTAGAAAATTTATTGAAGGTTTTTTTCATAAAAATTAAATAATGAAAATATATTAAGTTGGGATTAAGATTTTGATATAAAAATTATAGAAGTATATAATACTAGTAATTTATTATCATTTGCAAATGTAATCATTTTAGAAGCAGATGGAAATTCTAATAATAATAATAATATTGCAAAAGTATGTAATCAATATTTTATTGATTTAAACCTTAATAATAATGAAAGTATTTATGTATGTTATGATGAAGCAATTTTTAGATGAGTAATGCAATATTATTTAATTAATTTAAGAGTTTGCTCTTTATTAGGCTAGTGGTATACTAGTAAAGATATGTATAGTATATTATTAGTTATTTTTCAAGTTATGAAATTCTGTATATAATCTTGCTGCTTTTCTCAAAATAAAATTTTTAGATAAGTTAGAACAAGTAATATATTATAGATCAACTTATTATGTTCTTGATTTACTATAAAAAGCAATTAGCTGTGTATTTAATATTTATGCAAAAAAAAATAATTTTTACTTTGAAAATATAATGAATCAAAATAATGATTTATTAAAGGTTTGGTATTATTTTTTTAAATGGAAAAGTTACTGGAAAGGATATCAAGTAGGAATTTGTATTAGAAATTTTTTACTTCAAATTTAATATCTTTCTGTTTTTACTCCTTTATTTCCTTTAGCTAAAAAATTGAATTATATAAAATCAACTGTAAATTATCTTACATTATTAATCAAATATTCCAAACTTTATATACTTTTAGAATTTGCTACTTTAGTTAATCTTACTTGTAATAGGCATTTTTATATATTTGATGAGACACTTGAAACCTTTGATGTTAAATTTATAAAAGAAAATATTACTGAAAATGTTTATAATAATGAAAATCTTCAAAAATAAATAAAAGCAAGTTAAGCAGAAAGAGAAAGAATGGATTTGTTTTTTAGAGAATTTATAGGTAGTATAGTGATATCTAAAAAAGATCAACCAGTTAATAGCAAGCGTGAAGTATTTTAAGCTCTTATTAACTCTTTATTAATTATATTTAATTCATCCAATCTAACAAGTCTTTTTTTATTTTAAAATTGTAAAGAATTAACTGATGATGATTTAGTAAAACTTTTTTTATATTATGATAAAAGAAAAGAAAGATTAACGCAAATTTTTAAGCAAGAAGTAATTGTAACCAAAGTAAAAGATATAAAAAATGCTGAACACATATTTAAAAAATGTCTCTCTCAATCTGAAGTAGCAGAATCATTTAATACCACAATCACCACCAATATCACTACTATCATTAAATCATGGTATGTATTAACAGAAGCAGAAAAAGCTATTTTAAAGCCTTATTTTGAAAATCAAGATCCTAGTAATAAAGAAACTGAAGTAGTATTAGATTTATTTTTAAAACTATTATCAGATTATTGGATAAGACAAAAAGTTAGAAATGCATAGGGATATATGCAAAGGAAAAAAAACAAGTAGCTGATTGAAGGTTTTTTTTAATTTTATTTACAATAAATTACAATAATCAAAATTTTTATAATAACATAATTAAATAAATAATACTATAAAATTAAGTTTACTAATGCCACTACCATTACTGTCACAAGAAAAAAATTACGTCTGCAACTATCATTATTACCACTACCTTCACCACTATTACAAAAGAAAAAAAGTAAGTTAAATAAATGCAAATTAAAAAAAATAAAAATAAAGTTAGATTTTTATTGCAGCTACTAAATTATAGCCTATAAGAATGAAAATATATAGATAAAAATAAAATGAAAAATTCACATAAACTTTAGCTGCTGTTTTGAACTAAACCATAATCTAAAATAAGTAACTGAAACAAAAGTAAATAAACGAAAATAAAAAAATAAAAATAAAAATTTAAACTTATTGATTATTAGTTGCCATTTTAATCAAAACTATAATTAAAAAAATAAGAATGAAAAAAAATGATATTTGATCACTTCAATTCACGAAACTGAACTTAAATAAAAGCAAACAAATGAAAATAAGTGGATAGAAATAAAAAAAACCAAAATTAAAGTATTCAACTATTAACTGCCATTTTGAACTAATAAGAAAAAAGTTAAAGCAAAAGCATAAATAATAATCGTAGCCTAAAATAAAAGCAACTGAAATAAAAGTAAATAAATAAAAATAAAAAAAATAAAAAAAGTTTTAGACTCACCAATTATTAACCACTATTTTAAACTGAACTGTAACTAAAATAAGAATAAAAAAGAATGATAAAAAAGAAGTTTCAAATACTCTGATCCATAAATCACCGTTTGAACTAAATGTAACTTAAAATGAAAACAATTAAAACAAAAGTAAATAGATGAAAATAAAAAAAATATAAAAAAAGTTTTAGACTTACTAATTATTAGCCACCATTTCAAACTGAACTATAACTAAAAATAAGAATAAAAAAGAATAATAAAAAAGAAGTTTTGATCACTATGATTCACAAATCACTATTTGAACTGAATTGTAGTCTAAAATAAAGCAAATAAAACAAAAATAAATAGACAAAAATAATAAAAAAAAACATAAAAAAAGTTTTAGACCTATTTATTATTAGCCATTATTTTAAACTGAACTGTAGTCTAAAATAGCTAATAGAAGCAAATAGAATAAAAGTAAGTAAAAGTAAACGAAATAAAAAAAAATTTTTTAAACTCACTGCTATTTAAACTGAACTGTAGCTAAACAAGAATAAATGTAAGAAATATGATAAATATAAATAAGAATTAAGAAGAAAAAATAAATAAGAAAGACAAAATTAAAGAAAGAACTTACCTTTGCTGTGATATTTTGAACAAACCGTTAACTAAGAATTTAAAAAAAGAAATAAATAAATAAAAATTAGAATAAGTTTGAACTGAAAATAATATAAAATCTAACAACTGTAGTTTAAAAAAGTTATAAATATACGAATATATTGATAGCTGATAAGAATAAACTAATGTTATATATTAAAAAAGCTTCTTATTATAGTGAAAATTTGATTTTTTGAATTTTATGCAAAAACTGTCTGAATAACTAACATCAAAAGCTTAGAAAATTTTTTCTTCTTATAAAATTACATATATTTTCAATGCTAAAATCATATTTATTTTTCTACTTTTAAAAGGATTTTAAAAAAAACTTATTTTTAAGTGAATTTCTTATAAATGCAAAGAAAAAAATAATTGTGAAAAAGGAAATTTATTTTATAAAACTAGTAGAGCACATGATAAACTACCAAATTACTTAATTAATATGGGTATAATATATTAAAATTAACATTTAATTATAAAATAAAGCAACTTAATTATGATTATATAAAATTTGTTTACTATAAAAATAATCTACATATAATATACGCAGTGATTGATATATAAAAAATATATAAATATTAGAAAAATTAGTTCAAAAAAATTAAATAGAGTTATAAACTGCATTATTAATTTTAATCATTTGCTTTACTATTTTTAACTAAATTAATTAAATTTTATTAATCTTAAATTATTAAAGAATATCATTTATTAACTTAATTTATTATAAAAAAGTAAAATTTAAATTAGTTAAATAATTTTTTTTTTAATTACAAACTTTTTTTTATTATCTTTTCATTTTTATTATATTAACAAAATTCTAAAAAACTTAGTTTTAATTATGAAAACTTAATAAATGCATTTTATGTTTATTTTAGATTTATTATTATTTTTTTATTATATAATTTTAATTTTATAATTTTTCTTTAAATATTTCTTAATATTTTTTACAATTTTTTTTAAAGTATAGTAGTTTTATAAAATCTTTATTATAATTAAAGTTTTGTATAAGTTGACTTAGTTTGACTTATCACCAGCTCAAGCTGAGCTACTTTTTTTCAGTTCAGCTTGGGAGATTAATTGATAAGCCAAGTCAAGCTAAGCTGACTTGTAAGCCAGCTCATTCAGAAACATTTTCAGAATGATTTTCTTTGAAAGAAATATTTCTGGACGTTTTTCTTTGAGAAAAATATTTATGAAGCAATTTTCTTAAAAAAATTCATTTTCAAAACATTTTCCTTAAAGGATTTCATTTTTAAAATAATTTTCTTGAAGAATTTCATTTTTAAAATGTTTTCTTTGAAAGATTTTATTTCTGAAATGTTTTCCTTAAAGGATTTCATTTCTTGAAGAATTTTGTTTTCAGAATATTTTTCTTGAAGGATTTTATTTTTAAAACGATTTCTTTGAAGGATTCATTTTTAGAATAATTTCCTTGAAGAATTTTGCTTATGGAGGGATTTTCCTTAAAAGAAATCATCTCTGTAGCTTTTTCTTTGAAGAAATCACATTCAGAATCGAAATTCTTTATAGAAATCACTTTAGAAGCGAATTCCTTTAAAGAAATTTAACCCTAAATGCATTTTCTTTAAGAAAATGCATTTTTCTTTAAAGAAAATATCACTGAATTTATTTTTCTTCAAAGTAAATGTTATTAGATTCATATTTTTTAAAGGAAATGTCACTAAGGCTATTTTTCTTTAAGTAAACGCTATCAGAACATCTTTTCTTCAAAAAAATCTCCTTTGAATTTATTTATTTTAAAGAAGAAAATGCATGCCAATGAGCTAAGTTATAGTATGAGTTAAATTATGGTATAAGTCAGCTAAGGCTGATGATTTTTTGTGATGCTAAAAGATGAATTTTGTGTGTGATAAAAAAAATTTTGTGATTTGTGATGATAACAAAATTTTATTGATTATGTGTTATTTTGTAACACATTTTTAAAAAATATATAAATTTATATGTTCAAAAAATTTATTTATTAATTTGTAATTAATTTCGTAAAATTTAATCAATTATAATATAATATATTTAATTGCTTTAATGATTCTTCAGATAAACTTTGACAATTAAAATCTAAAAGTGAATTATATAAAGAAAAACTATATTTTATTACGCAGCTTGAGATTGGTAACCAAATATAGTCTAATGCAATATTAAAAAAAATTTGTAAATGAATTGATAAACTTTTCCAATAATCATCTAAGTCAGTTTTATCTAAATTTTCATTAACTTCCAATCCACAATATATTTTCCATTCATATAATAAACCATCAGAAGGATTATCAAGTTTTATAATTATTGAATAATGATAAATATTCTTTCTATAAGCATTTCCTAAATAAATATATTATGGATTAAAAACTTGGCATGTATAAAAAAGTGAACAGACAGGATAATTAGGAATGTGTATTAAAAATTTGTTATAAGCTACTTAAAAAGCTTGACGAATTATTGGGTAAAAATTATCAGAGTTAAATAAATGTTAACAAATTATATTTTCAATTTCAGAACTAAAATAAGGTATAATAATATTTAACTTAATAAATACTATAAGTTGCTGTAATTGATCTTCAACAAAAGGAAAAATTAGTTTGTTTTATTTTTGAAAAAAATTCAAATTCTGTACAAACTCTCTTGCAAAAATTGAAATAAAGTAAACATAAATTATAATGATATCAATATCTTGTAAATTCTGTAATGTTATATAAATAGCTTTAATTATTTCATTTCACAAATATTCTTCATATTCGTGTCTAAAAAAATTAGCCTAATATTGAATATGATCTTTAATGTAAAAAACTATTTAAAATCAACTATTTCATCAAATTTGATTTGGAAGTAGAATTTTATGAAGAGATACAATGCCATTCATTTTAAGATAAATTATATAATAGTTTCTTTGTGCAGGTAATTTAACAAATGATTCTTTGACTTTAGCCAAAAAAGTCTTTAATGGTAAAAATTGTGGTAAATCTTTCCAGATTTTTTTAAAAAATTAAAATTAATTATTAAAAAAGTTAGTATATGAGGACTGATCTAAGAAAATTAAAGTCTGAAACTAATAATTTATTTTAAAATAAAGATAATTAAATATTTTGTCTTAAAAATTAAAAAATAAAAATTTGTATTAATTTTAGTTCTATTGATCTTAATCACGTGATATAAATTTAAAAACAATAAATTTATATATAAGTTTTAATCTATGAAAATAAGGTTGACTTGTAATTGAAGATAATTCACCACATGCTGCCAATTTTGCAATTAATGTGATAATTTAATAAGCTCATCTTGATATGTAGAATCTAGAATGCATTTTTTAATTAGTTTGTCATTCCTATATTTAACAATCAGTAGAAAGAGCAGACTGAGAATATTCTTCAATCTGATGTATAGAAGGTTGTATAACAGCTACTTTGTTGTTTATCTGATATGTTTATGATGCAACTGTATTTCAAATGTCTGTTTCATAATATAATTTGTTTTGATAGGATGAGTTTTTGTGCATTTTTCTATAATAACAGCTAAGCTAACCTCATAAATCTGTACACACATAGTTGGAAGAGCACCACATAGTTTTTCATGGACATCAAAAGTATGTTGGTTATTAATATTAAGCTCACC